TCAGTTTAAAATGCAAACATGCAAGACATATTGAATCAAATATGGCTCTCAAGGCTAGGTCTGAGGATAAATACATTTTAAATCAAATTGTACATATATCTAAAAATACAGAGATTTTTGAATCAAATGGCTAATGTATGCACGAGTCTGAATATACAGTAAATAAAAGATGTTGAAACTATGGACTATTGACCGACGGCTATACTAATGCTTTCTATACCTATATGTTTTCTCCAGGAAGACAAAGCTGAATCATGTCTTACCAGTGACCCTACTGTTATTTTTAGTTTTAGATTTAAGAACATTTTTAAAGACATACATGGAACAGAAACAATGATGTTTGAAACACCACTCAAATTCCATTCAAAATTATATAACCTTTTCTTCATTAACCATCTTTTTGCTAAGCTCATATAGAGTATATTTTTCAAGAAACTGTTAGGCAATATAGATTCATATTTTTCACCTTTTATCCTAGGAACAAGGGTTTTTTTAATATGAAAAAAGAATACATAGCCCCCGATGAAAGAGAGTTAACTACGGAAATATATAAAACAGTTTTCAAAAAACCTAGCAGATATTTTACGGAACTTGTACATTAGGTTGACAATATTTTCGAATTTCTACTTCTTTGTCAGATATCAGGACACTTCAAACAAACTAAGCGTGAAATTTTAGTATTTTAAATGGTTTCAAATTAAATACGTATAGCAGACTCTTATCATCTTCTGATCGATGTATATATGCAGCTATAGGTCTCACAGAGTGACAAACTAAAATAAGGTAAGGTACCATACTTTTAGAATTAGGGCTTAAATTTATAAGATGTATTTGATTCACGATCTTTTTTTTTATTCTAAAAGCGAAGGATTCATAAACGTTGTCATGCTTCCCAAGGCCTCAAAATGTGTCATACAAAGATAGGAGAGTGAGTCAGACTGAATAGTTTAGAAACTATTAGTCTAAGAAAGTTTTGAAATATATTGTCAGTTGATGCATATATTTTGGGATGTGTCAACCGAAAAGAACATCAAAACAATCAAAATTGCAGTTATGACCCTCGAAAGACATATAATTGGGAGTACCACTAAGTTGATCATGTATCAGACCCTGTCTTCGATGCTGATGTTGTATATCTTACGAATATTCATAGTAAAAATTTCTTCAACAAGCATATTATCCATCTAAAGAAACATCAGAAAGGAATTAAACGGAATCAGTCGTTACATCGGTGTGTTTTGAAACAACTTTTACATTGAACAGCCATTAATTGTCATTTTTTTTAAAATTATGTTTTATTTTGAAAATGTTTCCTCGTATACAAACATTATATATACTTGCTTACCCTGGAATAACTTAATCTGAAGAAATATAAAATTAGGCCATTTACTTGCAAATCTACTTGATTAAAAATAATTTTCTGAAACTTTTGAATAGAATTTTTTAAAACCTAGAACGTTTTATGTGCCAGTCAATTTACATGTTTATAAAGTATTTTATTTTTACTTCCAAATTCTCAACATCAACACCTGTTTCTTTCTCTATTAAAAAACTGTTTCAGGCTAAGGAAATTTGTTTTTCTGATTAAACACATGCACACAAGGTCGTTCTTTTCTGAATTAAAGAAATGAATAAGTGAGGTTTACAAATAATGATTAATATAAGGTATATTGTGTCAATGCATATATCTTGCTTTTTTATTAATTGGTTTTCATTACATCACGAGGAAATACTATGTAGAAGATATCACTGGAAATAAATTACTTCTTTTTCACTTTTTGTTTCATTTCTAATAAATATGACATTTCAGTACACTTTTAAACATAAATATTTCAGATCAAGAAAAAGATTAAGTAGAAAATAAAAAAAATCAAGCATAAAAATATTCATTAAAATCAATCTATACAGCAAGAAATCACACCATGAAATCAGATAATAATTAAGTATTCAAATAATGAATAAGTATAAACCCCGTGTCATTTCACTCTACTACTTCATGTCAGGATGACATAACCCTCTGCATTACTCGTGTGTTTTGCTGTCTCAGCTGTTTTGCAGAACGTGAGTGTTAATGTTTCAACCTCTTGTCATATCTATTATATTGAAATATTCTGCTTCTAATTATATCCCGTTTCTGTAAAATTAAGTAGGGTAGGCTCTTTCGCCGAAGCTTTTTTGTTGATGTTCATTATAATCTTGTGTAGTAAAGAACAATTATAAAGTGCACTGGCTATAACATGTCGTGTGTACTAAGTATGTATGAGACAAAAAAGTTTTAGCCTTCTCTGTATAATAGGTATAGCCTTTATGTGCTCTGGTTCATTGATAGAAACGCCTATACCTAACCTTCACTCGCTTGAGTTCTCGGATAGTAAAGGTATTTTCTATAAATTGGTAAATGGTAAGAATGGGTGCAGAGATCCTTTCATTTATTAAAAACTACGTAATTATTCCATCCTCACAAAAAAAAAAAAAAAAAAAAAAAAAAAAAAAAAAAAAAAAAAAAAAAAACTACTCGAAAGAATACTGTGTGAGTAAATGGCGGGAACTGGCCGCACCCTCAACAATTTCCAAAGGCGTACCCAATTATTTCACAGATCCCCCTATCATCGTATCACACATTTTTCCGAAGGTACTTGATTTCTTGACCTTCTTGTATCCCATATGCATGTGATATCAAAATTTGGCAGGAGAAATGACCCATAGTATGGCCTTGACACATCTGATTCGTGACTTGAATTTTACAATTTAAGAAATTTTATTTTGTTAATTATCATATTGCATGAAGTGAAATATGGGGATAACAAACAGTATTCTAGCTCAAAGTCCATTTAGACAATACAAATCGGGAGCAGAGCAAACACGGACCTCTCAAAAACATCAGACGTGGGATCAGGTGCCATGGAGGAGTGATCATCCCCTGCCGACCGGTCACACCCTCCGTGTGCTCCTTGTCATGATCGGGAAAAACGGAAAAATCCGTGAAGTCTGTCTAATAGATGTTTCAAGTACACGTTCGTCATTTACAGGAAGCTGATACATGATCATCGCATTTTATAAAAACCATGAATAAAAAAAAAATAAAAAAATTAATGTAAATTAAAATCCTTTCCTAAATCCATTAATGTTTGATTCAGTATATTCACACGATTTAATATCAAAATGGATGGGGTTATTGTTAGAAAGTTTGAAAAAAAATCTTTCTTATTCAACAACTTTCGGAATTTATAACTTAAATCAGTTTATCAGTTTATCTGTTTGATGTTCCCATTTGATGACTAGTACTGTTAATCTTGAAAATCTTATGATCTTTTTAGCTCACCTGAGCAGATGGCTCAAGTGAGTTTTTCTAATCAAAAGGGCGTCCGACGTCCATCTGTTGTCTGTCGTCTGTAAACGTTTTCACATTTGCGACCTCTTCTCAAGAACCAGTGGGCAAATTTCAACTAAACTTGCCACATAGCATCCTCAGTGAAGGAAATTTAGTTTGTTCAAATGAAAGGCGTGGCCCTCTTTCAAGGGGAGATAATTAGGAGTTAGTGAAAATTTAAAAATTAAATGGAATCTATATATAAATTCAAATGTTGTTAAAAGAAGCTGTTAGAAGTTGATGTCGTCACCAAGTATTAATAATCATAAAAGAAAATACACTGTTTTCAAATTTTATTCCACTAAAACTTACCGGTAAATTCAAGCAAATTTAGTTCAAGGACAAAGCAAAATAAACGCTACGTACTTTAACAGTATAATTTTCATACATAAACATACAAAATATATTGGAGTAGATGCCAATAAAAAAAATTACATCACAAAGGAATTAATGGAGATACGTTAAATACGCAGCTATGTTTAGGCTGTCTGAAGCATTAAATTGCATTCAGAACATACGTATTACATTTCCAGCTCGCTTTTGCATGATTTCAGTATGTAGGCTTTGAATGTAAATACAGACAATTTGCACAAAGGGATGTCTCAACTATATTTTGGCACATTTGTTGCGATATCACATGACCTGGTTGATCATGTGATGGTCATTTATATTTTTATCAAGTGCTGCAAACAGAGCAAGTGCTTAACATATATCTATTTAAATTTTGTTGCATAAGAAAAATTTTGTATCCTTGTGTACCTGAAAAGTGCTTAGGAGAAGCCAGAGATTTCATGGGAATCTCAGCTTACTTACACATTTGAAGATATTTTCCACTTTTCATCGTAATTTATATCAAAGCGAAGCGATTACACTTCCATCCCAAGCAAGATTCATTTATAGAACATTCTCCTCTCATGGATTTTTCACAAAATATTTAACTTTAACCATAATTAATCACTTGCCCCAGCCTGTTATATACACACATATAAATTCTATCTCTAACCACTGTCCTGTAAACCTTAACCTACCTGGGTACGACAATTAAAAATTCTTACAGTAATAACCTCAATGACACAACTACTGGGTTAATTTACACTGTTGATATGACAACATGCAGAGTCCTGTTCACAGACGAGACATCATAATAAAGGTAAATGATAATAATGACAAGACGTCAATAGCCATTTAATTTCCGAAAGTCTCATTGACCATGTCCAGTTGGGTACATACCTCTAATTATTTTTAGAATCGGTAGGAGAAGAAAGTAGTGCAAAAAAATTACAAGTTCCTTAATTTGTAGACCTGAATAAAAAAAAAACTGTGATAAGGTATTAAATTGAGCCTCAAACTTGTTGATAAGGAGTATGTTCCCTTGCAAAAAAGCTTGTCAGATGTAATTTATCAAGAAGATCAGCAGAATTATTTTATGTATTATAACACCAGTGAGAAGTCTTGAAATCCCCTACTTTCACTTTCATTTTCAGAGGTTAACGCAGACAGACGCATTTTGCCGGAAAACGAATCTGATATGCCACCTCGAGATTTTAACCAAGGAAAGACAACTTGATGTGCTTTGATTTGAGGGGTCACTCAATGCTGAACGTTAACATTGCCGCCTATGGGAAAACAATTAGTGGGCTGTACCCAGTTTGGTTACGTCGTCGTCAGCGATGAATTGGGCCCAGGCGTCCACTATGTGCTGAACAGTTGGTTGACCCTTGGTGGCCTTGAACAGCTGGTAAGCGTTGGCCACTTGTGCCAAATTCTCTTGACCAAAAACTTTTAATCCGAAGACGAACTCCTGTTCTTGGATTGGTCTGTCATTATTGTCTGAAACGAAAGCAGCGATATCGCCAAAACATCTCTCCATTTCTTGTCGGAATGCTGCCTTGTCTTTCTGGAAAGATTCTCCTAAGCCAGCTTGGAATTCCTCAAGAGACAATGTTACACCAGGGCCTTTGCGAAAGATGTAAGTGTTCCAACATTTTGTGTTGTTTAAAGTGTTTTCGTTAGCATTATCGCCGATTAACATTTTCTTTATTTCTTCAAACTTTTTCGCAGAAATCTGCATGTCTTCTATCGTGAGCTTATTATCCTTGTCAGCATCTAAGGACTTGAACCATACCGCCCATTTTGATTTTAGATAGTCCATTTCTTCTATAATATATAAAATATAGATAATTATACCGGGTTTCTAAGAATTATATACACTACCATTTTAATGCGTGAAGGATTATTAATCTTTTTAGCTGTTCAATGATACTGTAAAGTCATTTTCATGTTCATTAAAAATGTACTACCTTAAAAGATTCAATTATGATTGAGGGAAAAACAAAGAAAAATGAACATTCCGTAGATTTCATGCTTGCTGAAAATCCTCAACAACAAACTCTCATAGAGATTGTATTATGTTATAAAACAATGAGACAGAAAATATGCTTAAATTCGTGGCATACATGTATTTATGCTCAGAAAATAAGAGGAATTGCAGTTTTGTCTTATACCACCGCTTATATAACAATAAAATGCAAAATTGAAAACAAATTGATAAATTGTAGAAATATGTATTCTTAAAGTAATATGGTTGTTTACTTTGCAGTTATTACGGTAACTAGTATACTTGGCATATATATGTACATATATTATCTTTTTGTTTTAGACAATGTTATTGTAAATTTAGAAATCGTTAAAATCTTAGGACTTATCAGGATATGGGAGAGTTTAGTGACCCTGACATCTCTATAATGATAACTATAAAACTGTCCTCATGGGACAAAGACCCCCATAGGGCACCTAAAGAAAGGAATTCGTTAACCACATCTTAATAACAACTCTGCAATGTCTTTTTTAAAAAAACCTAGATTGGAAATTCTTTAACCGAGTTTCTTACTCAAAATTAACTGGTCTCAGGTTGTAACACCTCTGGTCGTGAGCCACCTTCGTGTGAGTATGAAAGTTTTACCTTCCACATCCTAGCAATAAAAAAAATCCTGGACCAAAGAACATTTGACTTCTGTGCTAAGCAATCTTGATCTTTTCAAAATTACCATGGCTTCAAATCACACCAGACCTCTTGATCACAAATAAGCTTTGTTCGAAGTATGAGGAATGTAAATATATAAAAAATCATGCTCAGAATGCAAATTTGAGAGCAGAAGAAACAGCCCCCCCCCCCTGAATATATCAGAGGTGGGATCAGTTACAATGGAGGTGTAAGCATCTCCTGTTGGCCGTTTATACCTGCCATGATTCCCTTGTCATGATTAGGTACACGGAGTAATCCGTATATAGACAACTCTGTATGAGAATAATGACTTAACAATTATTATTATTGTATTAAAATCGTCAATCAACATTCGATTTAGAGATGGATGGTACTTGAAAACTAGAGTGTTCCAAGGAACGCATGAGTCGCCTGCTTCGTAGCTTCATTAAAGATGCAAATAAATCTAAGAGTGGTCAGCTTTTAATTTACTATAAGCATGATTTTGCGAAATGTTGATTTTTAATTAAAAAATTTTTTTTATATCCACAGAAAAGAATATCAGCCTTAAATTAGTTGTGTTTAGAATCAGAATGATTTTTATCAAAGCGAGTCTGTAGATGACCAATCATGAAATACATGTATGAAAATTTGCGAATTTCATTAAAAACAGTTGTTAATGATCTCAAAAAGCAAGTTCTTTGATTTATCGTATTTAATGGTCGTATAAAGTGTTGAATAATATCTTTTTTGGTCCTATTAATTTTAGAAGAAAAGTGTAATTTCAAATTTTCGTAACTTAATGTTCGTTGGAGTTTTTTTTTCATTATACAGTATCCACACTTGATTAACACCAATCCTCGAATATGTATGTTTATAAATTGCATAAAACATTTTACTACTTATTGTAAAACAATTTATTTTTCCTAGTAAATATAAAAGTGTTCCAAAATAAAATTTGGATGCTGTACTAAAGATAATCGCAGATAGTTTTTTTTTTTTTTTTACAGAAAAGCTGTAGATATAATGAATTGTCAAAATATATGTGATACATTGTAATTGATAGGTTATATACTTCTAGTTCTCTTCCGATTCAGAGGAAATGTTAAACATTCGAACTAATTACTGATCGTTTTGTATTATCTTTGATAGAACAATTGTTTCTCTTGCTGACCTCCCCTTTCCTTCCCCTTCCCCCAACACAACTATACATGTGTATTTGATATTTGTAGATATGATATATAAGGGGTCATTTGAATTGTATACTTGTGTCTAAAGATGAAATTTACTATGTATACGTGAGGAAGTTTTCACAAGCAAAAATCCTCAAATGTGTGGTGGCATAGTACTGCTGAAGTATCTCCTTCACTTCTGATCATATTTTCGTGAGGAGTAAAGAAATAGATTTGGTAGAGCATTTATTTTAAAAGATTTGAATTCCCAAGACCTTCTGACACTTTTAAACCCTGTAACCCTGACCTTGTCTATAATACCTTTGTTCATTGTGATGACATATCCTATGATCACAATCAACCCTTTGTCTAGTATTATCTTCTAAATTCATTCAAATACAAAATTATGGTATGGACAAGAATTTTTTTAATCAAATCCAGTGAACCTGATTTTGACCAATTCATCAGGACACAGCTAAGCTTATTCCACTGCTTCAGGTTAGAAACAAACTTTGTGCCTACTAAAGCCTTCAAATTATTCGATTCAAAATAATAGCCATAGCAAGAATTTTACTCTTTTGAAATATGTGCCCTTAACCTTGTATAAATGAACCTGGGTATAAGGTTAAGAAAATACACTCGAGTCATCTGCAGGAAATCTTTGACTCAAGTAAACACGCTTCTACGGTTTTCTTCGTTTCAATGTCAGGTTAAACAGTTATTACTTTTAAACACTGTGATCGTGTTCTCAATAGTATTGTATATTACAGTCACCCTTATTAATACAGCTTAGTGAAAAAAAATGTGGTAAAAGATGGAAAACAAAAAACTCAGTATAAGTGTGAAATATTGCAATTTATTCGATCAATATTAATATAATTGATATTTCAACAGAGGTGTTATTTTTACTGTGCAAATCACAAGCGTTATTTTCATCGTAAAAATAATAAATTCTATGCAAAACTCTCCTTCGATCTTTCACTAATAGTGTGAAAGAAAATACGCCGTATTAGATAACAAGAGTGAAAAAAAAACGTATCATGAGATTGATTAAAACTGAAGTTTCTCCAAATTGTTTAAATACATGTTTACAATTTTCAGTCTCATAATCGCCTAGTAACAATAGCCATGAAGTCTCAAAACTATTCAGCTCTGATGTCACAGCATTGTAATACGAAAAAGAACTGCTAATGACCAAAGATTAACTCCATATCCAGCTAAATATATAATTCCTCTATGAAATAAGATATCCGAGCATCTTGCTTATCTTACCGACAATCAGCTTTAATTTATTGCTCTCATTCACAAACCACAATCACCACTGTCGGCTAATATAATACATAAAATTGCAGAAACAAGGAGGACTTTTAAATAAGACTTTTGTTAAACGTGTTGGAGTCAAAAGTTTTTTTTTCCAGTCAGATAAAACACAGTGCTTTCTGAAACTAATCTATGTAGTGACAAAATAATATATATTTCAATGCTGACTTCTTTTTGTAAAATCAAATGTTACATGAAAATTTATAAATATCAAATATTATTCTGGAATATTGTTTATTAAAGTTCATATATCATAATTATTTGATAATGTTATTTTCGTTTTTGATTGATTGATTGTATGTTTTTAAACGTCCCATTCGAGACTTTTTCACTCATATAGAGACGTCACCAAATACCGGTGAAGGGCTTCAAGTTTTGACCTTTACTCGGCACTCAGGGCCATTGAGCAGTGAGGGATCTTTATCGTGCCAACGCCTGCCGTGACACGGGGCTTCGGTTTTTAAGGTCTTATCCGAAGGAACCGCAACTTTCACTTCAAAGTGCCGAGTGCATGGCGAATGAACAGTTGCTACCCATTTTTTATCGATATAGGTCAGTCGCGGCCGAGATTCGAACTCACGACCTCCCGATCACGGAGCAAACACCCTACCTTTTCGGTATTGAAATCACCCTGGTGCATTGTTGCACGTAGAGGTAAGTTTATTTGCAGTTATTTAACAACGATACCATTGATGGTACCACTTTTTAAACCATACATATATATTCTGTGATACATGCAGTGAATAGAATATTTCTCCAACTACATTGTTAATTAATTAATCATAACCAATTGACGATCACGCAGTAACAGGCATTTTATAAAAAATCATATAAAATTAAAACTGATTACCTCTTACTGAACTTCAAACAGGTATACCGTGGTTTCTGTAAAATATAAAAGGTGAAGACAACGAATAGTGATCAATCTCATAAATCCAGTAAAACAAAGACCACATCAAATTATTTACATGTACTATAAAATGTACTATACCAAGTACAAGTTGTTACGCCCATATCACGAACTGAGACCTTGGGCTGATCTTATAAACACCTGTGGTTCAACATGTGACTTATATATGTAAATTGATGATGTTGTTGGTACCTTCGTCATAGGGTGTGACTGTTTCATAACGCTTTCATAACGACGAACGATAGTCATAGTGAAATAATGATAGTCATGTGACCGTTATTGTAGCATCTATTTTGAAAGCTGTCAGTTTGATCAGTCTTAAAATGATGAAGTCACTTGACTGTGACCTCACGAGGACTAAGGAGGGATTTGGCACGATTTGACACTGATAGGGGGTGGCGGTGTAGTAATACCCATATCTCTACATACTAAACAAGACTCTCCTTCACCTCAGAAACATCGCCCGCTTGGCGCAGTGGTTTGAGTGTTTGCTCTAGAGTTGCGGAGGAAGGCGATGATCCGTATGTCGCAGGTTCAAATCTCTCTGCGGGACTTGGAGGCCGGTCCTTCGGATGAGACCGTATAAACCGAGGTCCCGTGTCGCAGTAGGTGGTGGCACGGAAGAGATCCCTCACTCCTCAAAGGCCATAAGTGTCGAGTAGAGGTCTAAATTTGCAGGCCTTCACCTGCAAGTGGTGGCTTCTCAATATGAGTGAAAAATTCTCAAAAGGACGTTAAACAACAAACAAAACACTTCAAAAAAAAAA